ATGCATGAAGTGGCCGCTATGGGCCTGAGGGTAAGTTTCTTTTCTTTGCTTTTTCCGTTCCTTCTATTTTGGCGACCTTGACCTTTACCATATTTTTCCATTTTTTTTTTGGTTTTCAGACGTACATGGTAGAGATCGAAAGTGCTCGCAGGGCCGACACTCGGGCTAAGATTTTTATGATGATGTTGGAGAAGTATCGGCGCTACCACAACAAGTGTCGTGATATGCACGAACGGCTCAAGTTGAACGCGGGTAATCAATATCTCGGTGAGGAACTGGAGAAGAGGGATTAGGAGTTGATGCAGGCTATCCGCAAGAATAGCGAGCTTGAGAAGCAACTTCATGTAAAGGATGAAGAACTTGAGTTGGGAAAGCGGATTATCGCAGAGTGTGAGCATCTTCAGGCGAAGGTGCAGTCGTTGCAGTCCGAGTTGGATCAGAGCGCCATCAGAGTTGAGGCTTTGAGTGCCGAGTGGATAGGGAAATTGGCTGAGGTAGAGATGAAGGTCTCCGAGTTGGAGAGTGTAGAAAGCTCTTGAGCGGTGGCTTCAGCGAGGGCGGCGGCGTTGGAGGACACTATCCGCATTCTTCAATTCGAGCAGGAGTTGGAGAGGGCGACATCTACGCTCAGGGAGGCGACGCTGGAAGAGCGCATTGGCGAAATTGATCGAGAAGCTTCAGCCTTGGGGGATCAGGTCGCTGTTATTGAGACCGAAAAGGCGCAGTTGTTGGCCCAAGTTGAATCTACCTCTGCCACTGTTCCTCGCCATCTGAACGGGCTGTAGGTCCATACCGAAGCCCAATGGGACATTAGTAAGAGTTTATAGGATGCGGGCAATGTTTCTGAGGCCGCTTATGAAGGTGCTCGGGCGAAGGCACGAGAGACTCGTGTTAATTGTGATTATGATCTCGCGACATCGGAGGCTGGCGAGGACGTTGATGCTGAGGGGGAGTTTCCTGGAGATGGTGATGGGGAGGACGGCGGTGATGGCACCGAGTAAAAAGAAAGTTGTTATCTTTGTCTTTTCTTGTTTGTCGTCGTTTGTGTTGTTGCCTTCCCTATTTTTTTTTTATTGGATCGGTTTTAGCCGTGTATATTCTGCGGCCATTGGCGCAACTGTTTAAATAAGGGAGTTTTTATCGTTGTACATCTTTTGTATCTTTCCCCCTTTCGCTTTTCATATCTTTGGCGTAAACTTTCGAATATTTATATGGTGGATTCCTAATTTTCAAGGAAACCAACCGGACTGAGTAGGAGTTCATCGTGAGTCCGAATGGAGTCTTCTTCGATTCAGACGAAGTTGTTGTTCTTTCTTTATACATATCCGAGCGAGGTCGAACTTGATGTTTGTAGCAAAATCAATTTTTTAACAAGTAAAAAAAAAGCACGACGTCGGCCGATAGCTGCAAAGACATTATTGAGTTCGAGCGAGGTCGAATTTTTCCTTTTGCGATGGCCCTTTGACGTGGGAATGTTTCGAGGTAACGTCGAGATACTATCCCGCTACAGTTCGAGCGAGGTTGATCTCTTGTTATTGGCGATGGCCCTTGGCCGTAGGGGTGTTATTTCGAGCTGATGTTGAAATGTTAACCCAATATGATTCGAGCGAGGTCGAATCTTCATTTTGGCGATGTCCATTGGCCATAGGGGTGTTATTTTGAGCTTATGTTGAAATGTTAACTCAATATGATTCGAACGAGGTTGAAATCTTCTTATTGGCGATGGCCCATGGCCGTAGGGGTGTTATTTCGAGCTGATGTCGAAATTTTAACCCAATATGATTCGAGCGCAGTCGAACTCCTCTTATTGGCGATGGCCCATGGCCGTAGGGGTGTTATTTCGAGCTGATGTCGAAATTTTAACCCAATATGATTCGAGCGCAGTCGAACTCCTCTTATTGGCGATGGCCCTTGGCTTTAGGGGTCATATTTTGAGCTGATGTCGAAATGTTAACCCAATATGATTCGAGTGAGGTCAAATTCTTCTTATTGGCGATGGCCCTTTGCCATATGGGTGTGATTTCGAGCTGATGTCGAAATGTTAACCCAATATGATTCGAGTGAGGTCAAATTCTTCTTATTGGCGATGGCCCTTTGCCATATGGGTGTGATTTCGAGCTGATGTCGAAATGTTAACCCGTTGTGAGTCCTAGTTTTTAGAGAGTTTCGGGTATCCTCTAGGGGAGTCCCAATATTTCTTACTCTCTGCATTTCCTGGGTGAGTCCCAGTTTGTTTAATTCTGTTTATATTGGAGAGTGTAATGTCGGAGAGTATAAAACGTTGCTATTTTGCTAATGTCCGTTTCATGTATATATTGGAATTTCCCTGCCTAGCCCCTTCATCGTCAGGCCTGGAGGGCTCGTCGGTAGGCGGGGCGATGAATTATCCCTTGAACCTAGTGACGTCCCCCTTATTGTCTTGTTCAAAACCTCCCCGAGAAAACCACTAGGGACAATACCTGGATGTGGGAAAGGGAGTACGACTCAAAGGACGTCGTTTTCCAGAAGTTGAAGTGTGAGATGGGCGATATTCCAGTTATTCTGTAGTAGTTTTCCTTCCATTCTCTGGTTGGGATGTTCTTTTGCTCGCTTGCCCATCGGGCGCTTGTGTTCCTTTTTAAGCAAACAACAAAAGGTAAACTAGAATGAGATTTTTCTTACCTCGATCCAATGAGTCGACGAACGAGGGTAACCTTATGGCGTTGCTTGCTCCGTTTTGCATGTAAATGGTTTGATGGACTGGTGGTTTTTAGATTCGGGGGCCGTATTCAGCTCTCCTTTCTTTTTTTGAAAATGCCCAAGCTCCGCGTGGGTTGGATTTGCTTTAGTTTGTTCATGGATCATCCAGTATATGGGGGAATGTCAGAGTAGGGCGGGGTGTGCCCGTTCTTTTGTAGGATTGCGCAGTAGGTGTCGTCTCCTCTTGTGGGTTTTGCGCGGATATTGGTTGTCACTTATGTTTTTATGTAGCATCATGATCTAGATTAGCATGTGAGGCTTATTTACCACTCTTTCTAGTGGGTGATTATGTTTCACCGATTTTGGATCTGAAGGAGGCTAGGAAGTTGGCGCACATAGACGGTGCCAAATTGTTTGAACAAAAACGTTTGAGACTATTTTACCAATATCGATTATCGATAATAAAGAAGATAAATCTTAGCCTAGCATAATCAACTTCAGATCTACAAGTAAAATATGAGAAAGAATGAAAGGTAGGGGCATCTCATATTTATTGATATCATAATCTTGTCCTCCATAAGAAGACAAGATTAGCTTACATAAAAGTAGAAATTGTAGGAGAAAGAGTCGAGCGAAAAGTCCCCCTTTCTAGAANTCCTTGCCGTTACTTGACTACAATAACATCTCTCACACATGTTGTCGATGACTTGACCCCAAGGTAGATTGTGGTGTCATCGGGGCGAGATTCTGACTTGATTGACTGTTATCATCGGATTTTGACCTATACAAGCTTAATGCACCAGAATACTTTTTTTTGGATGCGCTATTGCTATAAAAATTACATTCTAGGCACTATGCAGTAGAAAGTGGTTGAATTAGCAAACTAGTACTTGGATTTTAATTGTTTTGTGAAAAAAGCAATGGGTATGTTCCAATTTGAAATTGAGTTGGTGTTTACACGTTGGAAGATATGTGACTTGTTATTATTCAAAAATAAAATAATTTTTAGAATCATTATTATAAGAAATTTCCGGTGTCCCGAATTCCTATATGAAACCACTAAATTGTCATAATTTGAATTACAATTTGTGATCTAAAATAATTTTTGAATTATATAATCACATTACTAGAAATTTTCTCATGTCAAAAAAGACTAAACAATTTATATAAAACAAAAGTTTGTTCTTCCCTTATTTACACAAAAAATAACTGTTTACAAATGGAGTTCGATTTGAATTCCTTTAGCTGACTCTAGCTACGCGTCAGAATCTCTAATGACAGCTGTATAAATCTTTACAAATAATAATTAAATTTTATTTCATAAGTTGTAATAGAAAAAGTTTCGGAACCGAAAAAAAATAAAAAAAAATTAGTAGTATTATGTTTCATCCAACGGCTCCAGCTGGATTTTTCACGTTACGGTATAAGTGCCAGGAGAAAGAAAAATGAAAGAAGAGACGAAAACCTGCCGTTATTAGCTAAAGCCTCAGTAGGGGCAGAAAATACAAGATTGCCAAAACTGATACGTGTCAATAACTTCAGCCATGTATGACAGTGATACACGTCAATAGCTATTCCCGATAAAATAGTTGGAAGAGGAAGCATTTGCAAAAAGGTATCCTCAATAGGTCAATCTATGCGCCACGTGTCAACCAAAACATCGGCTAAATATTTTCCATTTCATTGAACGAGATACTTTTTTTTAGTCTGTTTTAAAATAAATAATATATTTTTAAATTTGAAAATAATTTAATTTTAAATTTTTTTATTTTATCCATTTACCTTTAATGAGAAACTTTTATAGTCGTACAAATATCATAGCCCCATAAATTTTTTATCTCTTAAGCTTTTAAAATCATAAATTTCAAAAAAAATCTTCTTTTTTTTTTAAATTCCATGTCGAATTAAATGAAACGGAGGGAGTATTTATTTTACGTTAAAACCTTCCCGGTAAAGGAATGTGAGTGACCACAAAGGAAAAGGAAAAAGCTCTAGATGGAGATCGTCGCGGCTTTTACGAATCCGAGATTTCTCGACACGTGGCAACCAATATCCATATCCTAACAGCTCAGTAACAGCCACGTGTCCGTTTCATCGGTTACCTTTTAGGCCTTATTTCTGTTTGCAGTTAATGAAGAGACACCTTAAGGGATGGTGACTACGCATGTTTGGTGTCGTCCCTTTAAACCAGGTTGTCTAAACCACGTGGGTAAAGAGGACTCTTCATGCCTACCACGTGTCGATTTCTGGTGCGTTTACGTTTCATTGTTGAGGGTCTTTTCGACTTTTACGTAGACTAAAATAGCCAATTAATATAATATCAACTAGTCGTGGTTTCTTCAAGTTGTTCTCTTTCCTCTGTTTTTCTATTTCCTCTGTTCTGGTCCCATATATGGCTAAAGTTTAACTCTATTGCCGGCGAAACTTTTTCCCCGTGAATTTGGGAACTCCGACAACTACATTCTTTCACGTCTACAGAAGTTTCTGTTTCTTCGTTAAAATATAAAATTTGTTCAGTTTCAGAATTTTAAGTCTTCCTTGAGTATCATCATAGTTTTTCATCTGAGGTCTTGAAGATTTGGTGGTTTTTTGGTTTGTTTTTTTTGTTTGTTAAATGGCGGAAACTGAAGAAAATAGGGGAAAGAGGAGTCTTTCAATGCAAATGAATGGTTTTTCAAGAGATCTGTTGCATAAATTCATGAACGGAAACAACTTTAAAGGGAAATTGCAACAAATTCCTCCGAATGAGAATCATGAGGATGAAGATGATATAGAGCTGAGCTTGGGGCTTTCATTAAACGGCCGATTTGGTGTGGACCCAGAAAGAGCTAAAAGACTCAAACGTTCTTCTTCAATCAATAACGTTGTGTTCATTAACGGTGAGGACAGTAATAATAGCCGTGGATTTCCTTTTGGCTCGTACGCAACTCTAGCAAGGACGTGTTCGTTACCCGTTGAAACAGAGGAGGAGTGCAGAAAACGGAAGGAAATACAATCGCTGAGGCGTTTGGAGGCAAAGAGGAAGAGATGGGAGAAATTACAGAATGTCAGAGTGGTGAAAGATTCGGTTGATTTGGAGGAGAATCGCGAAGAAAATGGCAATGGTTATAGTAATGGTCAGGGTTCAGTTGGAAATATTATTTATGTTAATAATGAGAATTCGTTGCCCTTGTCACAAGGGTCGATGGGTTCACAGGGCAGTGGTTCTTCAGGAATTTCTGATTTAGGGAGTCAACCCATTCAAGGTACAGTATTACGAAATTGGATTCTCTTCCTTGTTTCCCTTAAATTTATTTCTTGATTTCTTCCAAATTAGATGCAGTACCTTTTTTGGCATAATATTTTTTCTAGTTTATAGTCGTTAAGGATTTATGTGCCGTTTCTGTTAATGTGTATTCCTCTGAATTTGCCATTCGATATTTGGTTGTGCTGGTTTGCCCAGTGGAATCCTTTGAGAAGATGCTTTTCATTAGTATCTTATCTTATTAGCAATGGTGGTGAATTTTTATTGCTGAACTTAGGCTGGTAGTAGCCGAGGATCGGTGTCCTGGACCACTAGCACGCGGCTATTTGAAGCCATTTAAGAATTCCTACAACAACAAAAAACCTAGTATAATTTCATAAATGGGGTTCGGGGAGTACAGTGTGTACGCAGACCTTACCCCGACCTTACAAGGATAGAGATGTTTTCGATAGACCCTCGACTCCCATTTAAGAACTCCAAAGGACGAAAATTGTATGTCTCTAAAGTTAAATCTATTTTAGATCCAGTGAAGCAATTAGGTGTGCTAATGCAGCATTTCGTTATTTGCTGTGACTAAGCTCTCGTTTGGCCATAAATTTTTGCTTCATTAATAGCCTCTCTGCTCTCTCGGGTAGGGCTAAGGTCTGCGTACACACTACCTCCTCATCCCACTAATGAGATTTTATTGGGTCATTGTTGTTGTTTTTTTTTTCAAAAAAAAAATTGAAAACATTGTTTGTGGGATATGATCATGTTTTTTAGGAAAGAAATTCAAAAAATTTCAAGTTCCCAAAAACTGGTTTATGGCGGTTTTTGGTTGAAAATTTTTCTTTCACTCTAAAACTTCGAACTTTTCTCCAAATAAAATACGTGTCGAAACACAACTTCAAACTTTCAAAAATTATTTTTCTAACACAATTTTAAAAACTCTTTTTTCAAGTTTCAGTCAAATGTATGTCCAATCAAATGTATGTCCAAACACTAGCTAAGTTATACTTATGTGTCTTAACATTTAGGTCAAGTTATGACTTAAAAGAATGTCATCATTACAGAATGCAGTAGAGCGGATGCTACTTCAGTAGCTCCTTAATGTGCAATAAGACTTGACTGTGCTTTTGTATTGGAATATTTGAGGCATGGCATCTTGAATCTGGTTTTTGCCACCTCCATTGGAGAGCCAGAAGTATCCGGAAAATTGGTAGACAACTATAGATATGCATATTTGCTCTTATTTCAAAGATGACATGGTCAAATTTCTGTCTATATAGTCCAAGCTGGGAGGTTGTGAGAAGAAATGAGTTGAGATAAAAAAAAAAATTCTTTATTATTCTCCCTCAGAAATCGTGAAAACATAGATTTTCAGGAAGAAAGGTCTGGTATCTGCTCTAGGCAATGTACTAAGAGAGAATATGGATGACAATATCTCCATGGTTTCAGATTCCTATCTAGGAAATAAGTTGGTTAATGTGTCAAAAGATCAGGAGAACTCCCCGAACCTGGAGTTGTTTAGGAACTCTGTTTTTTAAACCTAAATTCACTGTCTGGCAATGTTACTGGTGTTTGTGGAAATTTTCTCTGCCATTTTTCTTTGTTTCACTTCCTGATATCTAGTATTCCTTGAGCTGATCCTACGTGCTGATTTGGTGTAGGGTATTTCGATACATGACCACTTAACGTTGATACTTGGTTATATTGCTTGGGACAGTAGTGGAAATAGAGTGCTGATTGATTTACATGCTCCTCTGTGTTCTTTGGGAAGGAGTTAGATTCTCTAGGTTTTAGTAGAATTTGATCCGTCCAACACTATGTTAACAGCGCTGTCACGATGTTTTTTGCGCTGTTAACATTTGAACTAAGCTATGCTTTCTGTTTCAAGTCATGTGGTTGATAGATTATCATTACTGTCCATCCCTTGCTATTAAATTCTAGCAGGAAAGAACTGACCATGTTTGCATCTAATTATTGCAGGGCCAAGTGACTGTACCGGGACGAATATTCCCGCTAGCATTAAGTCTGCAGAGCAAGAGCACGAACAGGAACCGGTAGCTGCACAACCCGAAACTACAAGCGAAAAAGCACCTAGCATATGTAATGGAAATGCTAGCAAGGAAACAAAAGAAATGATCAAAAACTTCATGTTAAACATGCCTTGTGTCTCGACAAAAGGTGACGGACCAAACGGCAAGAAGATTGAAGGATTCTTATACAGATATAAAAAGGGAGAAGAAGTGCGGATAGTTTGTGTTTGTCATGGTAACTTCCTCTCCCCAGCCGAGTTTGTCAAGCACGCTGGTGGCAGTGATGTTGCAAACCCGTTGAGGCATATTGTTGTCAATCCTGCGCCGCTAATGGGATGACGGCCTTGCCCAAAAAGCGCGATAAAGCTTCAAAAAATTGAGCTTTACCATCGTCGTTAAGTTTCTTTTGTAACTTGAACTGATTTCCTGGATCAAGGTTTTTCTATTTTTCTGTAGATTATGATAGAGAGTTTTTTTCCGGATTTTGAGTAATCAATTCGCAGGTTTATACTCTATCCGAAAATTTCAAGAATCTCCTTTGGTATCTTTCGGTTATTTGTTCTTTTCGAAATATTCCGTATTGTACCTATAGGGAGGATTATGCAGTTGGTTTCTGCTGGCGGAATCAATGTGTTTATTCCTGTTTGATCTAACATTTAAATCTAGGTTTAATCAAACATTTAAATCTAGGTTTAAATAATTAGATTTTCTAATAGAATAGAATTAATCTTAGCCAATTTTAATATTCAAAATGCCGTTTAATTGATTTCCCGACAAAGTGTCACAAATTACGTCAAATATCAATAAATGTATAGCAACAATAGTATTTAATGGCCCAAAAATTAAGAAGACATCATTCAATAGTATTAAATGAAATATAATAGTATTTGAGTAAATAAATGCAACTGAGATAACTAAAATGGAATTGAATTCGATGATATTCGATGGGAGAAAAATTAAAATCAAATCTAAAAAAAGTATATTTTGTATGTATATAACACAAGAATCTTCAGAGAATATTAAAGTATTGTTTTTTATTATTTTATAATGAGTGTGTTTACCCTTAAAATTGAAAAACAATTAAACTTATAATGTGATTTTAAGGACACATGATTTTACCTAATAGCAATTGATGAATACGAAGAGATTAGTGATAGAAATGGACAATAAGATAAAACAAATCTGTGTTTGAATGGAATTCAGCCCTCGAGTTTGAATACTTTCGAACTGATTGGTATAAGAGCAATTAAAAATATAACAAGCTGATGAACATGAATATGAGCTAAAGAGAAAGTATTATATTGCTTTGATACGTGGGAACAAAAATGTATCTTAAAAATGATTAGAACCCTCTTTATATAGTAGAGAAATCCTATCTATGGTACAATTCTGATTATAGTAGTAAATCCCATGATTAACTAAACAACCGCCCTTAATTTGATCTGTTCCGAGATTTCCGCCACGATCTTCAACCAGACACGGATATCTCGCCTTTTCGTTTGGTCTTGCTTGATGTCTGTCCTGCTCAACCTCGATCATTGTCAATTTCGATCTTGCTAGGTACCTCGAATCCGAACTCGGTGTCTTATCCTCGTGCCTCGATCTGATCTATTACAGGATCGATCTCGATCCTTCACACCGGTCTCGATAAATCAGTCCCGATTTTAACCATATACAGATAGTCCTCTCGTTTTTTGGAGTGTAATGACAAGAAACGAATTGAACCTTCGACCTATACCCCGATTTATCAAGACGTCACCACCGTGACATAAGCGGCAGAGGTGACCGAAATATCCCGTCGGTGCAGTTCCCTAGGCATTTAATGCGTGCCAGTTGATGATCCGCCACTAGTGGTTTCGAACCGCCGCCGCGACACTCATAAATAGGCCCTTTTCTTATTTATTCAAATTTTACTTTCAATTCCTTCTAATCTCCAAAGCTTTTTACACCTTTTAAGTTTGCCCGCTCTGCAAAATCTTCAAGTTTTGTTTTCAACCTTCTCTCAAAACACCAAGTCCTATTTTTTTCTTCTTCTTCAAACTCAAACCCAAAAATGGCGAAAACGTCAAAAAACTGTTCCACAGAAGGAAAAAGCTTCCTCGTCCAAGCCGGCCAGCGAACAACCCGTGGTGGAACCACGCCCTGAAGAATTCTTTCCTCCGCTGTGCGTCCTTGACTCTGACTTCAAAGTTAAAAAGACCTCCTCGATTCTGGGTCGATGTGAGCCGATGTCGAGGTACATGTGCACAATCACCAACGGCCTTTTAGACCAAGTTAAAAAGGATTACAACTGGGTAGATAAACATGTGGTGGTGCCCTCGCCTGAAGAGTCGATCACCACGTATGTGGAGAGGTTTCTGAGTGTGTATACCTACCCTTTCACATTCGGTCCTCGAGATCCAATCATTTTGAACTTCTGTAAAAAGTACGAGGTCACCCTCGGCCAGATTCACCCTTCTTTTTGGAGGATAGTGACATTGCTTCGATTTTTTGTGAGCAAAGTCGAGGGGCTTCCCTTCACCCTCTACTATCGCATTCGTCTGTATAGCCTCCGACTTTATCGAGGTGGGCTAACAAACCTTCAACGTCGGTCTACGAAGGCGGTCATCTTGAGCACAGATGAGGATAGGGACCAGGGATGGATGGGGCGATTTGTCCAGTGAAGACCTCAGACTTGATCCCGGTCGAGAGCGTGCCATTTCCAGAGAAATGGAATATGGAACATAAGTACAATTCCACTTTTTAACTTCTGTTTATTATCTTCTCTTTTTCATCCTTTCTTACTGACGTTTTACTTGGCGCAGCCGTTGCCTGGATACCGGGTGCGATCCCCCATCTAGACAACTGGGTCAGGAAACTAGTGTCGACGTCGACACAGGCTGAGCGCACATGGTGCGAATTGTCGAGGGGTCGGTGGGAGGGCCGAAGCCACGGTAAGTCTTTGCATATCTTGATAATTTTGGTCGTTGTCTGAATTTTTCCTCATACTTGTCTTTCTTTTACAGGTCTCGGGAAATATATGCCAATGAGGCCCCCATCAGGTGATGTAGAGAACCTTCCCCAACCGTCTGCTTCCAAACAGAAGAAAGAGCGGAAAAGGAAAGAGGTTTTGAGCTCTACGAATTTGGACGAGCAAAGGCCCAAAAAGAGGTGAACCCGCAAGGGGGATGTCATCCCTTTGTCAATGGACTCAGTCCTCAGGCTACGAGAGGAGCCCGAAGAGGGTGAACAAGAAGAAGGGAAGGAAGATGATTTAGGACTACTTTCCCATACTTGAGCTAGCACCGGGGCTCGGAAATCTTCGGAACCAATAGGGACCGATACTGACTAGGCTAAGCTCGATGAGGTCGAGGAGGAGGCTTCGGCCCAAGTCCCCGAGCCGAAAGAAGTCGAAGGTGTTTTTCCTCGGGGCAAAGAGGAGATGGATGCCGAGCTCGAGGCTCCCCAAGACGGGGGCGATGCTTCAAAAGATCCTCGGGGGAAATAGCGATCGGAGATTCCCCTTCGTTTCTTTCAGTTTCCGATTCTTTGATATGCGATGCCCAAACCGTAGAGCTGATCATGGGGAGGGAGCTCACGGAGAGGAGGATCTCTTCCATGATTTATTTGCCGGGATAGAGGACGTCTCTAGCTCAGGTTACTTGGGAACATCAAAGAAAGATTCGGGTGGAGTGCCGAGTCTCTTCAATGAGGCACAACAGGCTCTGGATCGGGCAAGCCTTAATTCCCCTTGTTGATATCACACTTGTGTTTTTTCCCTTCTTGTCTAATTTATTTTTATTCTGTGTGTAGGCTTTGGTGCTTTATCAGGAGGCATTTTCCAAATCTCGAGTAGAACTGAGCTGGTACGAGACCGATATTTGAGGGCTTACCGAGGAAAAGAGTGCCCTTAAACTCCTTATTGGGCAGAAATGAGAAGAAATCAAAGGCCTCCGAGCTGAACTAGCCACGGCTCAGCAAGAACAGAGCAAGCCAACCGAGCAGGTAAATGAAGTCTTAGAAGCTCATGTCCTCAGTTCGGGAGTGGTGGTTAACAATTCGACCTCACACGTCCAACGATTGCACGAGACGATCGGGCAACTCCGTGGAGAGGTAGATGCAATGAGGATGGAAACCATAGCGTGGAAGCAAAATATGGATCGCCTTGCCTTAGAGAAAGAGACTGCTCGAGCCTAGTTATCGCCGACTGAAAATCAACTTCAAAGCCTGAAAGAAAGGAACTTGGCAAAAGCCAAGAAAATTGAGGAGCTCCAGGCTCGGTTGGCCATAGAGCTTGCCGTGGCAAAATCTAAGGCTGAGAAAGCTAAGGCTGATGCTGAGGCAATCGTGGCCATCTATCGATCTGACGCCGAAATCGCTCAAGCTCGAGCGAAGGAAGTTGCTAACACTGCTCAGACTCGAGCATATCGGGTTGCCGGGCATGCCAAGTGCCAGTCTCAAAGAGAAACTCTTGAGGAGATCCACAGCTGTGGCTTCAATCCCTCTGCAGTAATCAAAAATGCAAAAGAACTCGAAGCCAAAGCCAGAGCATTGGTCTCTTCCGATGATGATGAGTCTAGGAGCATGAGTGGATCCGAAAGCGGAGAAGATCTTGATGACGAAGATGTAGCCTCGAGAAAAATTAGGCACTTAGGATTTTTCTTTTTTGAATTTTTGTGTAGGATCCTGATCGGTCCTTGTAAATATTTTCATATATATAAAAGATCTCTTTTTTCTCTAACTTGTCTTTATTTTAATTTTTGCCTTGTGAAAATTCTGTTTCATCCATGCCTTGAAAACTTTTATAAGTACGAGGCTTGGGCAATTTGATCGAAGTCGGACTAGCGTAGTCTTTATAATCGAGTGAGTACTTGCTGGAACTCGAAGTAGGATGACCCTTAGGTTTTAGTTGAGTGAGGATGACTTCTCGAACTCAAAAAATGGAACGGCCCTTAGGCTCTTGAATTAGGCCGATATAGCCTCAAAAGAATGGATCATTCCCTTTTTCGGCTTAAAAAAGTTAATCATATAAAAATGTGTTATGCCTTAGCATGAAATAAGGTTGTTCAAGAGTTCGAACAATCCGGTACCCCTTTAAGATTTTCGAGGGTTGATATTATTGAAACCTTTTGTAGTTTTACCGAGGGTAGCCTTTTTAACCGGTTTGTGAAGATATTAGAAGGCCTGTTTTTATTACGGAATTCAAACGTCTCCGAACCGTGTTAGTTTTTCCATAGCCTTTAACTTGAAATTTTCCTCCTTGGCTTATTTCTCAATTATACTTCGAACTTGTTCGAAGCGTTAGTACCCGAGTGGGGTGGCCGTGGCCTATTAAAACGAGGGTTGAAAATTACGTCGATTTTTTTGACGACAGTCCCCGAGTATGGGGTAAGTTGTTTGATCTTCAGTTGTGATCGGCCCTTAAGCATGCTTCCACAATAAACCAAAGGTATGAAATTGTAAAGCAAAAATTTCCCTAAGGCATGAAATATTTGGCAAGGAAAAAGTACTTCTCTCAATAGACTATACATGCATACATGTTTGCCTTTAGGGCTCGAGTAATCTAT